TAACAAGGCACATTCAGGGAAGTCTGACTTTTATCCTTGTCCCTGTCCATTCTTTCATTCCCCTGTAGGTCATAACTGTGTGTGTTTTGCTTCATCTGCCATCATTTCTTGTTTTAATATGAGCAGAATGTACATATATTCACATTTCCTTCTGTTTCTTACAAAAAAACAGAATATTAAAGACATTGTTCTGAACCTTGCTTGTGTGTATTATCATGGATGTTTTCAAAACGCAGGAAATCAAGGTCATCTATTTGCTTTTTGAGTCACAACATTTAATTGAGAATTATTTACATATTATTGGTTACATGTTTTAATTTATCTTTACTTTTTTATGTTTGGTGTGACCATGTCAGACAAAGGTACTTTTCAAGAATTTGTTAGATCACTTAAATTAAAAACAGTGATTGGGATTCTAAAGTTTATTATTTTTTGGTTCTTTTAAATCATGCATTGTTTTGTTTTTTTTAATTTTACAGATTGAAGATCCAGGTTGCTTCTGGGTTATTATAAAAGGATCTAGTCCCCTTTTAGATAATGATGTGGACTATCAAAAACTAAATAGTTCCATGAACGACTTCTATAACAGCATGTGTCAAGATACAGAAATAAAACCATTAATGTTGGAAGAAGGGCAGGTAGGTATCTAAGTGTGCTTTAATCACTGTGTCTTGAAACATGGCTTAAAATGTAAAATATTCTGGCAGCTGAGGTGATTAAAGCTTTTCGAGTATTTTAGTTTCCTGTGCTCACTGCCTTGTGTTAGGTTCTGCAGGTTTCACAGGATTCAGGCCAGCCATGGAGAGGGGTGGTTGCTGTGCGGGGTTCAGGTGGGGCAGTGGGACATGGAAATCCAAACCCAGGCTTTAGGGCCGTCCCCCTGGTGCTGCCGACCGGGGGATTGTTCTAGATCCAGCCCAGGTGTGGGGACCTCAGCAAAGAGGGCAGGCATGGCGTCTTCACTCTAGGGTCGATGCCTCCCTCTGGGTTGCTCATGCCTTCGGCCGACTCTCGCGTCTTTGTTTCCTTCGCTCCCCGTCACGTCCCCTCCTTGCTTCTTGCGGCCTCGGCTCCAGTTGCCCAGCCTCTGTGTCTCTGCAGGGCAGCCACGCTTCGGAAGAATTTGAATTTTTGTAATAATGTGATGGGAAGAGATTTATAAACTCTTTATGACAAAAAGTAGAAACAGTTTGAATTCCTTCCCCCACCCCAAAATCATTATTAATAACATTATTCATTATTTTTGTACCATTTTTCAATACCATTGACTTATTGAAATGAAACCAGGTCAGTTATCCTTTAAAAATATTTTACATTTTAGATAGCAATTGCTTCCTTGTGGTGGTGGTTTAACTTTTTCTCAGCCCTTTGTATTTTCTGTGGACTGATAGTTAAATATAAAGTTTTGGATAGATTTAGGGTCACACTTTTGTTTTTCAAGAATAGGTATGACCTTCATATTGTATAGAATTGGGAGATAATCTTACACAATTGAAATTAGGCCAATTAATAACCCTAAAATGGCTTCTAAGTGCTCAAGTGAAAGGAAGAGTCACAGGTCTCCCACTTTAAATCAAAAGCTAGAAATGATTAAGTTTAGAGAGAAGGCATGTCGAAAGGCTGAGATGCTCGGCCGCTTGTGCCACACAGTTACCCAAGTTGTGAATACAAAGGAAAAGTTCTTGCAGGAAATTTAAAATGCTACTGCAGTGAACACACAAGTAAGAAAGTAAAACAGCCTTACTGCTGATGTGGAGAGAGTTTGAGGGGTCTAGATAGAAGATCACACCAGCTACCACATTCGCTTAAGCCAGAGCCTAATCCGGAGCAAGGCCCTCACTCTCTTGGCGTCTGTGAAGGTGGAGAGCGGTGAGGAAGCTGCAGGTTTGAAGCCAGCAGAGGTTGGTTCGTGAGGTTGAAGGAAAGAGGCCGCCTCTGTAATGTGAGAGCTCAGGGTGAAGTGGCGATGGAGAAGCTGCAGCAGGAAGATCTAGCTAGGGTCACTGATGAAGGTGGCCACACTAAACAACAGATTTTGTAGACAAAACAGCCTTCTAGGCCTTTCATAGCCTAAAGAAGTCAATGCCTGGCTTCAAAGGACGGCTGGCTGTCTTGCTAGGGTCCAATGCAGCTGGCGACTTTAAGTTAAAACCAGTGCTCGTTTACCATTCTGAAAATCCGAGGGCCCTTAAGAATTAGGTTAAATCTGCTCTGCTCGTGCTGTATAAATGAAACAACAAAGCCTGGTGACAGCACATCTGTTTATATACAGCAGGGTTTACTGAATGTTTTAAGCCCGCCTGTTCGGATCTACTGCTGTGAAAACAAGAGCCCTTTCAAAATATTACTGCTTATTGACAATGCACCTGGTCACCCAAGAGCTCTGATGGAGATATATAAGAAGATTAATATTGTTTTCATGTCTGCTAACAACATCCATTCTGTAGCCCATGGATCAAAGAGTAACATCACTTTCAAGTGTTATTTATTTTGTTGAGACGAGTGATCTCCCTGTGTTGCCTAGGCTGGCCTTGAACCCCTGGGCTCAGGCGATTCTCCTGCCTCAGCCTCCCGAATAGCTGGGAGTCTGGCTGAGTCTTACTTTTTAAGAAACTTATTCTGTAAGGCTACAGCTGCTATAGATACTGATTGCTCTGATGGATCTGGGCAACTTCCATTGAGAAACTTTTGGGAAGGATTCGCCATTCTAGATGCCATTAAAAACATCCACAATTCATGGGACGTGGTCAAAATATCGATTTTAACAGGAGTTTGGAAGAGGTTGATTCCCGCCCTCACGCGTAGTGCTTCAAGACTTCAGTGGATGAAGTCCCTGTGGATGGGGTGGAAATAACGAGACGACCAGAGTTAGAAGTGGAGCCTGAAGTTGTTGCTGAGCTGCTGCGATCTCGTGATGGAGCTCGAATGGATGAAGAGTTGCTGCTTAGGAAAGAGCAAAGAAGGTGATTTCTTGAGATGGAATCTGCTCCTGGTGAGGATGTCGTGGACATTGTTGAAGTGACGAGAGTATTTAGGGTATTCCATAAACTTAGTTGACAGAGCAGTGGCAGGGTTTAAGAAGATTCACTCCAGTTTTGAAAAGAGTTCTACTGTGGGCAAAATGCTGTTAAGCAGCTTCACATGCTACAGAGAAATCTTTCGTGAAAGGGAGAGTCAATAGATGCCACACACTTCACTGTTGCCTTATTTTAAGAAATTGCACAGAGACCGCAGCCTTCAGCTGCCTCCACTCTGATCGGTCAGCAGCTGTCAACATCGAGGCAAGACCCTCCCCCAGCAAAAAGACTGTGGCTTGCTGAAGGCTCAGGTGATTGTTAGCATTTTTTAGCAATAAGTTATTTTTAAATTTTTAGGCATAATGCATACTTAATACACTTTATATTATGCATTACTTAATAGACTACAGTGCAATATAAACAACTCTTATATGCACTGGGAAACCAAAAAGTTCATGTGACTTTATTACAATATTTGCTTTACTGTGGTGGTTTGGAACTGAACCACAATATCAACTAGGTATGCCTGCATTATTTTTATCTCATGGTTTTTAATATATTTATCATTTGTAATCATTGGTGTTCCTGATGCTTAGATTATTCCCAGTTTTGGCTAGTGGAAGCCCTGGTATAAGACAATTTCAAAGTCTGACTGGCTGTGTGAATTATTGACTATTCATACCATTCCTACAAGTTGCTTTGACTTTAGCATTAAATAGAAATGTCCCCCGTCCTTTGTCAGCACTTTTCTTAAATTATTTAAGTTTTGAATTGAGCGAGGTTCTCAAGAACCCTGTCCCTTGCAGTATGGCTGCATTATATATTTTTTTTGAGACAGAGTCTCACTCTGTTGCCCAGGCTAGAGTGCCGTGGCGTCATCCTAGCTCACAGCAACCTCAAACTCCTGGGCTCAAGCCATCCTTCTGCCTCAGCCTCCCGAGTAGCTAGGACTACAGGCATGCGCCACCATGCCCGGCTAATTTTTTCTATATATTTTTAGTTGTCCGATTAATTTCTTTCTATTTTTAGTAGAGACGGGGTCTCGCTCTTGCTCAGGCTGGTTTCGAACTCCTGAGCTCAAACAATCCGCCCGCCTCGGCCTCACTGCATTATATTTTTCAACTTAAATTCCTGAGGGCAGCAGTCTGCATTGGCCCACTTCCTCCCTGTTTGGGCCCAGCTCTCCTTGCTGGGCCACTCTGTAAGCTTGTGGTTAGCACACGGGTTACCTGTGTGTGGATTGCCAGTCCAGTTGGCTGTGGTATGGCCAGGATGCCAAGGGCTGTTGCTTCATAGGGTGGTTCCCCTTAAAAGGGACTACAGGCATTTACAGATGCTCCTTGACTCACAATGGGGTTATGTCCTGACCACCCCGTCATAGACTGAAAACATTGTAAGTCAAAATGCTCTTAATACACCTAAGCTACCGAACGTCATGGTTTAGCCTGGCTACCTTATACGTGCTCAGAACATTTACATTAGGCTATGGTTGAGCAAAATCGTCTAAAACAAAAGCCTATTTTATAATAAAGTGTGGAATGTCTGTGTAATTTATTGAGTACTGCACGCTGTGTTGAAATTGCAACAGTTGAAAAATTCTAAGTTAACCCATTGTAAGTCAGGGACCATCTGTGTTTATGGTTGTAAGGTCACTTGGTTCCAGTATATATTTATGGAACATGTAGTTCCATGCAACAGGTAGTTTTGGAAAACTTAGGGCACTGTACTCGGTGCCGGGAAGATGGCGGTGAACCAGACAAGAGTTCACACCGTCGTGAAGCCGGCGTCCATTTAGGGCGGACGGTGAAGAATGTTAGAGGGCGACCACAGCGGTGGGAAGGGAATGGGCAAGGTGAGCCTGGGGTTGCAGTTTCCTGTTGGTCTGAGACATGGCTGATAATCCTTTGCAAGTGCTGTTTTCTGATTTAAGAAGGTAAAGCTTATTTTGATCTAAAAATCGTCCTTAGTTAAGGAACCAAAACAATAGCAGTAAGAAAAACAATGAAACAGAATCCAGGTGACCTGTGTTCTTCTGAGGTTCCCTTGCCGGCAGATGGTGTTGACCTGGGCAGGTCCAGCCTCCTGGCATCTCTTTCCTCTGTTGTAAGGTAAAACGTAGGCTGAGATGATTTTGAGAGTATCTTTTAATTGTCACTGTATGACGAGAGATTTCAACACTGAGCTTAAAAACGCTTCCTTTTTATTTTGTAGGTTTGTGTGGTTTATTGTCAGGAGCTAAAGTGCTGGTGCAGGGCCATTATTAAGTCAATCATGTCCTCAGCAGACCACTACCTGGCAGAATGTTTCCTTGTGGATTTTGCCAAGTACATTCCAGTAAAGTCTAAAAAGTACGTATGTATTTATTTTGCCTTACAGTCTTAATGGAGACAAATGCCAGTTTTAAAGGAGAATGTCAGTTTTTAAAGTAAGTGAGCAGAGGTCATGACCCTTTGAGAAAAGATGAAGGTGGAGTTTTTTTTAGCTTCAAGAAGGGAAGACTTGGAGGTTCCAATTCCGCACGCACTGACTGGAGGAGCAGGTGATCAGAACGAAGACTCGGGGCTCTGACCCTCCTCCGCCTTCCTGGGGAGGGTGGGGCAGGTGCAGGCTGTTCGCTCTGTGTCTGCGGCTCCTTGCCAGCTGCTCTCCTGCTCTGGATGCAGTGGCTGCTTCAGGAGGGCTGGGCTGCAAGGAGGGCACACCAGAAGGTAGAGAGAAGCTCTTGTCTCCACAGCAGGGGGAGGCTGCGATCGCAGCCTCGCGTTGCAGAGAGCAGAGCAGGCACTCGAGTACGCGTTCCTGGTTGTCCTGCTTCGTGCAGTGAGGGTGCGGCCATCACGTGACGTGGGGAGACTGTCAGAACGAGCTGGTAGCTGGATGGTGACCGTCCAGCCTTCGGTGATTCTGGGACCACACGTCACAGTTCCTTAGAAAACACTACCAACGAGCCAGTCTTGGCATAGTTTCCTGTCCCAGAGTAAGCGGGTGTCAGTTTAATGAATAAATGTGAGGACTGTTCTTTCACTGAAGGAAGAGCAACACCAAATAGATTTCAGTTGCATAATAGGTATCTCTTAGATAGAAGGATTTCATGGCAGAAGGCTTATCAGACATGGGAAATTTGCAGATACTTAAGGAAAAAGTAGACACCCTTCCAACTTATGATTCTGCACCTTTGTATAATGTAACCGTAATTGCTATGAAAATAACTATTGTGTTTGTCTGTTTGGGGAGCTTTTCGTTTCGTATTTGTTTGGGGCAAGAGAATCATGAGACTGAGTAGAGCACAGGGGGGCCTCGAGGGGCAGTTAGTGCTGCCACCACCTTGTAGCCTCGCTGAGCAAAAGCCCGTGCAGGGCGCGCTGGGGTCTGGGGAGGAGAACAGCTCCTGCTGAGAGAGAGTGTTGGGGTGACCTGTTTGCCGGAAGGATGGAAATAAAAATGTTGAACTTCTTACTGTCAAATCTCTTTCCTTCAGCTCTTTCATGAGAAGTTGGCAAATACTAACTGTTAAAACACTGTTCATTCACAGACATTTTGAGGTGGTCAGTATTGAAATTGGTATTTAAAAATCTTGAGTGAAATTTTCTTCCAAGTTTGTTCATTATTGCCTAGTATTTTTCAACCCAAAGAGCCTTATTAGACATTTATTTCCTAAACTCCTGCCCTGCGCCATGAAATTTTAATGCCACGGCTGTAGTATCTGTTCAGGTGCTGTATGCATAACTGTGCTTTATGTGTAAAAAGAGTAACATTTGGCTCAACCCCCAAGAAACAGTTTTTTGTGTCATTAGCCAAATAAAGCACTGCTAGTGGCTGTATTAGAAGCACAGTTTTTTGTGTGTTTTATTTCACATTAAGTATATTGATTGTATAGGTGTATGTAAAGGAATATGCTCCGTATAATTTTTCTTTGTAACGGAACTATTTCTGTTTCACTTTGAAGCATCCGAGTTGCAATAGAGTCTTTTATGCAGCTTCCCTATAGAGCAAAAAAATTCAGCCTGTACTGCACAAAACCTGTCACTTTACACATTGACTTCTGCGAAGACAGTGCTGAAATTGCGTAAGTACAGCTTCTTAAGTAGTTTGAATCATTCGTAGAAGCCGTAGGTCAAGTGTCTGATGTTATGAAATCAGTTCCTCTGTGCAAGTGCCAAGCAGAAGGTGTCTTGGTTCTTTGGGACTTGGCCTCTCAGTGTCTGCCAAGCCTTGCGGGGCAGCAGAGTTCCCCGGGCAGCCCCAGCCTCGGGGACTGTGGTTGGGGTCTTTGGAGTAGGGCCTGAGCTCTGTGCATTTGCCTTTTTTCCACACCTGTAAAGAGTAGCAAGTTAACTGTAAAGAAAACGTTCATAAAACACAGGATCATGGAGCTCTTGAAGAAAAAGTCCATCGCATTCTCCTCGGGTCCCACATCCTCCCTCCTGGGAGGCCTCTGGTCTGTTCAGGCTCTGAACTCCCAGACTGTTGTCGGTGCTTTTACACGCACGCTTTTGCATGGAACTTTCAATGAAAATTAGAACATACCATCTTACTTGCAAAATTAATTTAAGAATGTCTGTTGAAGCTCTTTGCTGATACGTGTACCTCTCCTTCCTCCCTTTAGTCTTTTGCATTGGTGGATATAATTGACGTACTTGTTGGATTTAACTGTCTGCTCTTGACAGACAGCTAGGCTGTTTCTCAGCCATTTGCGCTGTACGTTCCCATTAGAACATAGATAAACCTGTATGAAGCATGTGGAGACACACACACTGCCCCCCGGTCTTTGCTCCTTTTTCCTAGCATTTGCCCACACTGCTGATGCTTGCACAGGATGGATCCGTGCGCTGGGCAGGACTCTGGGATATGGGTGCGATCGCTGCTATCTTGGACGAGTGGTACCGAGTGGCTTGAGTTCTGCCTCCTGTGGTCTGTGGGGCAGTCCCGCCTTCCACCTGGTGCTCCTCCTCTCCTCCCCTCCACGACTGTGGCATTGTGCAAAGACAAGCCACAGGGAGCAGCCCAGTTCTGACTGCACTTGTGCGTCCTGGTGACGTTGCGGTCCGTACTCTCAACTTAGAAGCTGCCTCTCTTGTGGATGCTTCTGCGGGCTCTTTGGAGACTCCCATTCCCCACTGCCCCCAGCCCCCATCACCTGTAGTTCCCTTGAGGTGGCGAATGCATCACCCTTGTGGCTGGCCTCGGAATCTGCACTGAAGTGGTGACAGGCCAGCTGTCTCTGCTGAGGCCAGGGGACTCCACCAGGCTGCCCTCCAATCAGTCCAGACCACCACTCACGAGAGCCTCTGGGCATGGGGGTCCCTGGCACGCAGCAGCCCCTGGCCCTCTGCTGTCCTTCTTCAGAGTGGCCAGCGGCTGACTTTCCAGGTGAGGTTTGGGCGCCGGCCGGCACAGCGCAGCTCGCCTGCAGAAGCCGTCCACTTCCTGTCTTCCTCGCTCTCACCTGCCTGACCCCCTTCCCGGCACTGCGGGGGTCTTCAGCCCTAGGGTACCCCCACTGTAGGCGAAGGGCTTACAAGCACGTCATCCTACTGGGTTTTGACCACCCTCTTTGACACGCAGTATCTTTGTGCTTGCACTTTATACATCTTTCTCAGGATGTGTATTACAATTTTTATCCCATTTCCCTCCAGAAAGACCGTAGCAACTTATACTACTGGAGTATAAGTATACTACTGGAGTATAACTATCACTGGAGTATAGAAAGTACTGTTTTTCCCCACACAATATTGAATATTGTTAGACTTTTTAACTTTTGCTTTGTTGCTGGGTGACAATGACATGTTTTAATTTGTATGTTTTAGATTTGCAAAATTGGGTATCTCTTCATGTGGTTATTTGTGTGTGTGTGTGTGTGTGTGTGTGTGTGTGTTATGAGAGATTGATTTACCTGTTCATATGCTAGATTGATTTTTCTCTTAGATTGTTTGCTGTTTTCTTATTAGGACTATACTACATTTTGTTTTTTTAAAAAAAAAAGTATTAGGTAAATTTTTTGTGTGTAGCAAGGTTTTAGAACCACTGTCTTTATTTTACTCCCTCCTTTGAGAAATCCTTTGTAATTCTCTTCAATTGCTTAGTATCTTTCTTAGTAAAAATAAAAATAAGGTTTTTGAATAATGGTTATGTTCAGGCACTGGGCTGTTTTACATACATTACCTCATTTGATCTTTAAAACAACCCTTGGAGGATGGTGGTGGCATCTCTGGTAAATAAAACCAGTAGAAACATACAATTTATCATTCTGCCCTTAATTTTTATTTTGTTTTTGTTCCTTGCTTCCAAGTACTGGTTTCTCTTGTTTCTTTGTTTCCGACAGTTTTCCTACGATTTTCTTTCCAAAGCACAGGGAAGACGTAGGAAGGGCACAGTGGCAGAGGTGAAGTGGGAGACGGAGGAGGGCTGCGAGAGTGGGCAGAGGGAGGATACCGCGGGACGGGAGTGGCTGGCTTTCCCGGGACGGCCTCTCGGAGGGTGCGTTAGCCAACACGTCCTGAGCCCTCCCTCTGTGCCAGTCTTTGCTGGACGTGGCACACTCAGAGTCTCTGCCTGTGTTCTGGTTGGGGGACAGGTTTGTCACAGGTTACGGGGGATGACAGCGTTGCACAGACGATGCCGTGATGGTGGGCGCGGGTCCTCCTCACAGCACCCTCCGTGAAGCGCGTCTGCTCTGTACAGGCAGCAGTGTTGGCAGGGAAGCGGGGCAGCATGCAGCCGGGATCTGCACCCCAGAGCTGAGCTCCTCGTTATCCGTGTGAAGTGTGGGAAATATCCAGTGCGTGGTTTACAAAATGATGTGAGTTTAGTGAACTAGCCTCCGATTTTTGTGTAATGAAGTTGCATGTGTTCACTGTTCCAGACCCACCAAGAAGTGGGACAGTGCAGCTATCCAGTACTTCCAGAACATCCTAAAAGGTAAGGCCAGTGCATGTGTGATCGCCGCAGCCTGCCTTGCACTGGCGCCCAGAGCGGCCTAACCTCCTGTTGGCGAGGGGACTTGAGATGTCTGCTTAGCCCTGTGACCCTGCTCATGTAGGTTTCCTGCGGTGCCTGGAGCTTCCTCCCCTCCAGGTGTCACCGTCACCGTCCCGCTGGAACTTTGCGGGTGACTGTGGGCAACAGTAATTGACAGCTGAGATTGGAAGGGGCTGTTTGTGTAGAGAACCCTACACAGTGATGCTGCCTCTTAGTTTGCGTAAAGCTCCAGCACTGCGAGTAAATTTGTGTGCATTTTATTGGACCAGCAATTGACGAAAACCCTGGCTTTTAGTGAGCAAGGGATGGCAAATGGATTGTTGTGTAATAATTATTGCTGCTAATTTAAGATGCACAGAATGTCTTTGCCCATTTAGTGTGCCTGCTTTGTTTATATCACTGACCACAAAACATAGTCTCTTTTGTGGCATCTGTCCTAACCCCAATACCTGTGCCTGCCTCTTTGGGCTATTCCAGAGAGTTGGTAGGTGGGAAACGCCGGCACACTGGGTGTTACCTGGCTGGGATCTGGCCCCTCTCCTGTGCCCTGCCGTTGTCTGGGTAAAGGAACAGCCGGAAGCTTTGAAATTGGGAGGTGGCCAGATTAGGAGTTTTGGCCCTTGAGAGCCACGGGGCTTGCTGGGAGAGGACCCTGGGTCTGGGGGAGGCACACCCCTATTTCTTTGTGGCCTCAGACGAGTTACTTAACCTTCTCAGAACCTGGTCGCTTCTCCTGTGAAATGGCAATGACTACTCAGAGAGTGTGGTAAAAATGAAATAAGGTTTATACAGGACTTAGCACCGTGCCCGACAGGTACCCATGAACGGAGCTGCTGTTTGGGTCGTGAAGTCTCCCATAGAGTCGCCGAGCGCTCCGACCTGTGGGGCATTTGAAAGCGCAGAACGAACTCTGAGAGGAGAGATTGTGACCGAAAATTTGGGCTTGGGCATCATCGGGAGAGAAGAAAGGACCAGGGACCTTTACTTGAGGAGGTGCTCACGGGGTGGCAGAGGACACGTGACGCACCGCAGCGTCCGGAGGGCCCTCCCCTCAGCAGCTCTCCGCAGGTCCTGCCTGTCATTGTGGTGCTGCATCCTCTTGACGGGTTAGCAGAGAGTAACTGGTGGGAAATAGTCGCAATTTTTTCAGCTACACTTGCAGTGTCAGCTGATTTGTGTTATCATTTGTGCTGTTTAGCAACTACCCAGGTGGAAGCCAAA